AACTTTCTTTCTTTTTTTTAAATTTATACCTGTTCTTTTATTATTTCCCTTTTTATTTTCTTTAAGTTAATTCAGTTGCTGTTTTGTAACTTCTCATGTTGCATGCTTAACTCATTACTTTTTAGCCTTTCCTATCAGTACTAGAAGTGGGATCCTAAACACGTGATCCTATCACAGTGATATGTTGGCACATGACAAGGAAATACACATCATAGGCTGGGAATATAAGAACCTAGGTTATGTAGTAACAAAACACTTGGTAAAATGGCTGCTTGCAGTGATTTGATTGCAAATCTGATCAAGTGCCTGATACTGATTCAGTTGCTTCAAAGGAAGTTGTTGGAAAGAGCCAGTGTTAGCATGTGTTGGTTGCCTTTTGCTTTGTTTAGCAAGATTTTTATATAAAGAGATAATCACTGGAAAGAATTGACTAATACATGAAAAATGGAAAAGAATGGACTGAGCGCAGATATTTGGGGCTTTCTTGTGTTAGAAAAAAATTGCTTTTAGACCCCAAATACAAAGTAAGACTGATAAAAGTTTTGAGTGACTAAAGCCAATTAACACTTTCTAAAAAAACACAAAGTGATTCAGTCTATGGCAAAGATTGGATTGGAAGTTGAGACTTCTCACTCAAGCCTATTATTTCAGATGGCCTCAAAATAACCATTATTAGGTGAAACAGAAAGGCATGGGGACAAGGAAATTAATCAGGCTTGGGAATTTTATTTAAAAGAGAAATTTGGATGTGCTTGTTGGCATATGGAGCTATCTAGAAGCAAGTAAGTTAGAAGCCTACTAAATTTGTAAGGAATCGATTAACCAAAGAAAACACAAATGCACCTTTGAAAAAGGCTTCGACTATTTAAACTTCAAATTAACTCTAAAGTCCTTAAATTCACACCACTATGGCATTGGCTATAAGAGTTCTGCAGCCCCCCAAGGATGTAGCTACTTCAGATGTGTCCATAGAAGAACCAGAGAGCAGAGTGAGGGGCCATGATAACACAGGATAAAGAATCTTTCCAGAACACAGAATCAGGGTCTAATGAAGGAACTTTCCCTATCCTTTGGTCAGACTTTATAATGCTTGTTTCTCAGGGTGTAATTGATAAGTTCTAGTGACTTTTTTTTTTTTTTGACAGAGTCTCTGTTGCCCAGGCCAGAGTGTAGTGTTGCAATCTCCACTCACTACAGCCTTGAACTCCTAGGCTCAAGCAATCCTCCCACCTCAAGGCACCTGAGTAGCTGGGCCCACAGGCATGTACCACCATGCCCAGCTAATTTTCTGTGTGTTTTTTATAGAGACGGAGTTTCGCCATGTTGGCCAGGCTGGTCTCAAACTCCTGGACTCAAGTGATCCGCCCACCTAGGCCTCCCAAACTGTTGGGGTTACAGGCGTGAGCCATTACTACTCCCAGCATGCATCTAATTTTAGTATCTGAAGTTTTTAGAGATTTAACTCTAGTTGTGTATGCTGACTCTTGGTTTTGGTGGCTTGCTTCCTTGTGACTTGGTAATTTTTAGACATGGGTTTCTCTTTGCCTGAGCTCTTTAGGATTACTTGTGGGCCTGGGTTGAGGATGTGTTTATCCAGAGAAGATGTATATTTGCTGCTTCCAGGCACCTAAGGACATTATCAACCTGGCACTATTTAAACATAATTTTTCAGCTTGGGTTTTCCTGAACTATCTAGATAGTGTAAGTTAAATGCAAGGCCAGACAATATAGTTACAAACTCTTGAAGGAACCTTTTTTATTATTATGTTTTTTTCTATTCAGAGCTGAGGCTGAAATGGACATTTTATTTTTGTGGTTTTCCTTTGTTGGCTGGACCTTGGGCCAATTATTTAACCTTTTCCAGTTTCAATTTAAAACTTACAGCATATATTTCTTGTGAGCATTAAATGACAGAATGCAGGTGAGGTGCTTAGATTGTGCTTGGCATAAAGTACTTGATAAGTGTCACTTTTTGGTTTGCTCTTTCTATGGCAAAACCTAAATCCAAACAATTAGAAATGGTACAAAACAGACCAGGCATGGTGGCTCACTTCTGTAATCCTAGCACTTTGAGAGGCTGAGGCTGGTGGATCTCTCAAGCCCGAGTTTGAGACCAGCTTGAGTAACATGATGAAACCCCGTGATATGACTTGGATTTGTGTCCCTGTCTAAATCTCAAGTAGCATTGTAATCCCCAGTGTTGGAGGAGGGACCTAGTGGGAGGTGATTGGGTCATGGGGGTGAATTTTCCCTGTGCTATTCTCGTGATAGTGAGTTCTCATGACATCTGGTTGTTTAAAAGTGTGTAGTACCTTTCCCTTTGCTCTCTTTCTCCTGCTCCAGACAAGTAGGATGTGCCTGCTTCCCCTTCAGCTTTCACTGTGATCGTAAGTTTCCTGAGGCCTCCCCAGCCATGCTTCCTGTACAGCCTGTGGAAACATGAGCCAATTAAACTTACTTTCTTTATAAATTACCTAGTCTCAGGCAGTTCTTTTTTTGTTTGTTTTTGTTGTTTTGAGATGGAGTCTTGCTCTGTCGCCTGGGCTGGAGTGCAGTGGCACGATCTCAGCTCACTGCAATCTCTGCCTCCCGAGTTCAAGCGATTCTCCTCCCTCAGCCTCTTGAGTAGCTGAGATTACAGGTGCGCGCCGCTGTGCCTGGCTAATTTTTGTATTTTTAGTAGGGACAGACTTTCACCATGTTGGTTAGGCTGGTCTCGAACTCCTGACCTTGTGATCCACCTGCCTCGGCCTCCCAAAGTGCTGGGATTACAGGCGTGAGCCACCGTGCCTGGCCTGGCAGTTGTTTATAGCAATGTGAGAATGGACGAATACATACTGTCTCTGCAAAAAAAAATACAAAGAAAAAATAGCTGGATGTGGTGATGTGCACCTGTGGTCCCAGCTACTCAGGATACTGAGGTGGGAGGATCACCCGAGCCTGGGAAGTCAAGGCTGCAGTGAGCTGAGATTGTGCCACTGCACTCCAGCCTGGGCCTATGAATAGGTGACAATTCATGTGATTCAGACACTACCATGGAATATATGCAAAATATCCTTTAGGGAAGTGAGAGATGAAGAAGCTATTTGATTTTTCTGGGACCTCCAGGAAAGACGCTTAAGTTCCTCATTTGGCATTCTCTTCTGTGGTCCTAGAACACCACCAGGTTTGCTAAATCTCATGATTACAGAATATTAGTGTTGATATTTAGTGAAAAAGTCAGTTCACTAGTTCAGTGCAGTGGTAACATTCCTCATCAGGATGATCATAGGCCCTAAACAAATGGGCTGAACCTCCATCAGTCCCATGTGGGTATCAGCCTCATATGGGGTATATTAGTTTGCTAGGGTCGCTATAACAAAGTGCCACAAACTGGTCAGGCGCGGTGGCTCATGCCTGTAATCCCAGCACTTTGGGAGGCCGAGGAGGGTGGTTCACCTCATGTCAGGAGTTCGAGACTAGCCTGGCCAACGTGGTGAAACTCCGTCTCTACTAAAAATACAAAAATTAGCAGGGCGTGATGGTGGGTGCCTGTAATCCCAGTTACTTAGGAGGTTGAGGCAGGAGAATCACTTGAACCAAGGAGGCGGAAGTTGCAGTAAGCTGAGATTGTGCCACTGCACTCCAGCCTGGGTGACAGAGCGAAACTCTGTCTCAAAACAAACAAACAAACAAACAAACAAACAAAGTGCCACAAACTGAGTGGCTTAAACAGAAATTTATCATCTCACACTTCTGGAGGCTGGAAGTCTGAGAGCAAGGTACTGGCAGGGCCAGGCTCCCTCTGAGGGTGCAGGGAAGGGTCTGTTCCAGGCCTCTCTCCTGGATTCTGGTAGTTCCTTGGCTTGTGGCAGCATCACTCCAGTCTTCACATGGTGTTCTCTCTGTGCACATGTCTGTCTCTGCATCCAAGTTTCCCTTTTATAAGGATATCAGTCTTACTGGATTAGGAGCCCAATCTACTCTAGTATGATCTCATCTTAACTAATTACATTTGCAACGACTCTATTTTTGAATAAGGTTACATTCTGAGGTGCTAGGGGTTGGAACTTCAACATATGAATTTGGGGATGGGGACGCACGACTCAACCCGTGACTGGGTAGATCTTCCTCTGTGCTGTCAGTAGAGGCAGAAACAAACTCTTCCTGTTCCTGTGTGCCGCTGCCCGCCTACTCCTGTGCCTCCCAGCTTTTTCTCTTCCCCTCCATACACCCATGGCTTGTTTGAAATATACATCCCTTTCCCTGGGCAGCTGCAGTAATTTCTCAGTCTTGACTCCCAGGCAGTAAAATGTCTGGGAACAGATGTCTCCAAATCTGTTTGTGTCACTGTCTCAGATTCAGATGAAGGCCCAACTTACATGTACCAGGCACTTAGCAAGTGTTACCATGCTAGGCACTTACCTTACCTCTCTGTCCTCATAACATCCCTCTAGAGTAGTATCCTATCTTCTTCATGAGGAAATTAAGGTTCATAGATGTTGAGTAACTTACCCAAAATTGCACCATCAATAAAGAGTAGAACTAGAAATATGAACCATCAGGGTAGGATTTTGTCTTATTTCTCATCATGATAGCAGCTGGCATTTGAATAATGAGATCTTATCTGAATCTAGTTCTTCTCATTCCAGACTTTTCCACTACGCTTCCCTGCTATACCAGTAGTTATGCCAACAAATACAAGTGGCCCTTCTCTCAGAGGTTGAGAATCCAGTCACCAAGTCCTTGTTCAAACTGCAAATTGGCCTTGTCCCACTGTGTGTATATGTGGCTGTGTCAGTCTTACTAACTACCAGAACATTCAAAATCCTTAATCTAACTGGCCCGGGTTCACTGGAGTGTCATATAACACAAAATACACAAGGAAATGAAGAACAAAGTTGGCCTGCCCATGCAGCCTAGTGCAACTGTCCAATGAGAAGCAATTCTGAAGAAGAGAGCCCTTCTGCCTGACAATGCCCTTGCTGAGACAGCACAGTTCACTTCAGAAGCTTCCTTACCAGCTCTTCGGAGAAGTAGCAAAATCTCCTGACTATATTCATGTGCCATGCCACTTGTCTCTCCACGCCATCCCACTGCTAGGGAAGAGAAGAAAAGACAATTGGAATATTGGAGATGAACAGCAAAAGCTCTTCCCTTCAACTGTCAGGGAGTCCTGAGGTGCCTGGAGGCAGGAAGATGAACTGATAACCCTCTCAGGTCCCCAGGACTTTAATTCAGGTAAAGCAGGATGCAGGCTCTGGCTTAACAGGGTAACTGTAGGAGCTCGGACTTGACCTGAGTGGGGACACTGGGAAGTGATTCCAAGGAAGATGACCCTTGCCAGACATTCTTCGATGTTCACCAACTGGTCTGTTCACCTGAGATTTGAGAGCTCAGTTTTCTCCAGAGGGACTGTCAGGTCAAATCCTCATTCTCTGCATACAGGTCCGCATCCTGAAATTCTAGTCTCCTGGACTTGAAACTCCTGGGAAATGTGGAGAAAAGGGTGGATTTGAGAGGTGAATGCAAAAAGAAGGGAGGAAGAATGTTCAAGATGAGAAAATAGATCAGTCTCTGAGGCATGTTTTCTGTTAATCAGGAAATGAAAACTGAGGCAATTATATAGTGAGGGGATAATTTTCTTTCACTTCTTGCTTTTTCTTTCCAGGTGTTCTTCTTGCAGACAAATGAGTCAATTTCATGAAGAGACAAATGAGCCATTTCCTTTGTCTCTATGAACCTAAGGTATTATTCCCATTATTTATTTTTGTTTTACTTTTAGAAATGGAGTTTCACTCTGCCAACCAGGCTAGAGTGCAGTGGTGTGATTGAACTCCCAGGTTCAAGCAATCCTCTCACCTCAGCCTTTAAAAAAACTTTAATTTTAATTTCAATAGTTTTGGAGGTACACATGGTTTTTGGTTACATGGATAAGTTCTTTTGTGGTGATTTCTAGGAATTTGGTGCACCCATCACCTGAGCTGTGTATACTATACCCAATATGTAGCCTTTTTTTTTTTTTTTTTTTTTAGACCGAATCTCACTCCGTCGCCCAGGCTGGAGTGCAGTGGTGCAATCTCAGCTCACCGCAACCTCCGTCTCCTGGGTTCAAGTGATTCTCATGCCTCAGTCTCCCGAGTAGCTGGGATTACAGGTGCTGTGCCACCACGCCCAGCTAATTTTTGTATTTTTAGTAGAGATCAGGTTTCACCATGTTGGCCAGGCTGTTCTCGAACTCCTGACCTCAGGTGATCTACCCACCTCAGCCTCCCAAAGTGCTGGGATTACAGACATGAGCCACCCCACCAGGCCCAATATGTAGTCTTTTATCCTTTGCCCTCCTTCTCCCCTTCGTTGCTCCCCCCACCAAGTTCCCAAAGTCTATTATATCATTCTATGTCTTTGCATTCCCATAGCTTAGTTCCTACTTATAAATAAAAATATTTGGTGTTGGATTTCCATTCCTGAGTTACTTCACTTAGAATAATGGCCTCTAGCTTCATCCAAGTTGCTGCAAAAGACATTATTTCATTCCTTTTTATGGCTGAGTAGTATTCCATGGTGTATATATACCACATTTTCTTTATCCACTCATTAGTTGATGGGCACTTAGGTTGGTCCCATATTTTTGCAATTGCAAATTGTGCTGCTATAAACACACGTGTGCACGTGTCTTTTTCATATAATGACTTCTTTTCCTTTGGGTAGATACCCTGCAGTGGGATTGATGGATCGAATGGTAGTTTTAGCTCTACTTCTAGTTCCTTAAGGAATCTCCATACTGTTTTCCATAGTGGTTGTACTAGTTTACATTCTCACCAGCAGTTTTAGACATGTTCCCTTTTTGCCACATCCATACCAACATCTATTATTTTTTGACTTTTAAATTATGGCAATTCTTGCAAGAGTAAGATGGTAACTTTTTGTGGTTTTAATTTGCATGTCCCTGATAATTCGTGATGTTGAACATTTTTTTCATATGTTTGTTGACAGTATATCCTCTTTTGAAAATTGTCTATTCATGTCCTTTGCCCATTTTTTGATGAGATTGTTTTTATCTGGCTGATCTGTTTGAGTTCCTTGTAGATTCTGGATACTGGTCCTTTGTCAGATGCACAGTTTGTGAATATTTTCTCCCACTCTGTGGATTGTTTGTTTATTCTGCTGATTATTTCTTTTGCCGTGCAGACCCTTTTTAGTTTAATTAGGTCCTGTTTATTTATTTTCATTTTTGTTACATTTGCTTTTGAGGTCTTAGTCATGATTTCTTTGCCTAAGCTAACGTCTAGAAGAGTTTTTCTCATGTTATCTTCTAGAATTTTTATGGTTTCAGGTCTTAGATTTAATTAAGTCTTTGATCCATTTGGAGTTGATTTTTGTGTAAGGTAAGAGACGAGGATCCAGTTTCATTCTACATGTCTGCTTCAGCCTTCTGAGCAGCTGGAACTACAGGTGTGTGCCACCACATCTGGCTAATTTCAAAATATTTATTTATTTATTTATTTATTTATTTATTTAGTAGAGACAAGGTCTCGCGATGTTCGTCCAGTCTCTAATTCCTGGCCTCAAGTAATCCTTCCTCCTCTTTCTCCCAAAGTGCTGGGTTTAAAGGTGTGAGGCACCGTGTCTGCCCTATTCTCATTATTGAATCTATAAAGTCCTTGGCATAGACTCTGTCTCAGGGAGCAGTGCAGGGCTAAGTCCAGAATCCAGGTCTTCTCACCCAAGCCCTGGCTCTCAACTACCCTTCAGGGGTCTCTGCCCTCCTGTGGAAGAGAAGTTCCGGTTCCATGACAGGCAACTTGTCAGGGTAAGCATTCAGAAACTGATCCGCCCTCAGTGGCTCTCTGACAACTGTCTTCTTAATTCAAGGTTCACTTAGCATAGCTCTCATAACTGCTTCGCTCAGAGCTGGCCAGCTGACCTGCAGTTTAAAGAGAAAGGATGCTATGGCCAGGATCCTCAGTGTCACAAGAGAGGAAGTCAGGGAATCACAGAACCTTACAGCCAGAGCAGACCCTGGAGGGCGGGAGGTCTGCTCTCATTTCAGAAAGAGAAGCTAAGGCGCAGAGCAGGGAAGTGGCTTGTCCAGGGTCACACAGCTGAGCAAAGTGACAAACCTGGACTTGGAGCCAGACTTCAGGTCAGCAGTCTGGTGCTCTTCCCACCTCAACCTGCTCTCCTCTTTCTTAAAGAAAAAGAAAGAGAAGGCGTTTCAGTAGTGAGTGTGGGATAGCCACCCACTTCACCATGATTTGGAAGCATCTCTCCATCCCTCCTCTCACTGGACAGCTGTGGCAGAACAGTCAGGGCCTGCCTGACCTCTTGGGTTTTATTGTCTCCTCTCAACTTGGGCTTAAAGGGACTTTATTAACCGTGACTAATACCAGAGGATCCAAAGCTGCACCCACTTGTTAATTTTGAGGAATTTGTAAATGCAGGATTGAAAAAAGATTTAATTTTACGCGTAGGTATGAACAGCCCCTCATAATCCCGGGTAGAGGATGAACCACTCATCATCCCAGGTAGAGGCAGGTAAGTGTGTCCAGCGTCCCTCAGGGAATGCTGTTCTGATGCCAAACCCTCTGCTTCCGCGGGGTCACTTCTTGGGTGGTTTTGTTTCTCCTCTGCTTCCACAGTTGCAAACCCTCGAAGTGCCACGACCCCTGGGGTAACTAGATCTTAGGTCCCATGGCCACACGCTCCAGCCCGCGGGGCTCCCAGGACACGACAGCGATCGGATTTCGCGTGGCAGCCAGGCTCCCCCTACTCCGGTCCCCTCCCGCCAGGGAACCCCTGGAGCCAATCAGAACGTCGCGGAGCTCGGGGTTGTAGAGTCCCGAGCCCAGGACCCGCCCCTCTTTGTTGCGGTGGCCAATGGACGCATTCGGAACATCGGCGGCTGCCCGGGTGACTCGGTTATATGTCACAGAATAACATTCGAGAATGGGACATGGAATGAGGCGACGGCCGCAGCAAGCCCCAGCAGCCCCAGCCCCAGCCCCAGCCCCAGTCCCAGGCCCAGCAGCAGCAGCAGCAGCAGCAGCAGCAGCCCCCACTGTCCCGCCGCCCGGAGAGGCTCTGCAGCTATGAAGCCGACCGTCCCGAGGTAGGATACTGGAGCTGCCGCGAGCCCTTCCTGCGCTCCGCCCGCCTGCAACCAGTCCCTCCGGTGCTAGGCGCTGGAACTCGGGGAAAAGGGGGCGGATGGAGCTCTTTCCACTAGGTCCCCGCCGGGGTCCGGGAGGGCTTCCTGGAAGAAAGCGGGCCGCCTTGCAAGCCAAGGCTGCTGCAGCGCCCTCGCGCCAGCCCTGGGCGCTCACGTGCCGGCACGTTCGTGGCTGCGCTCCTCTCTCGGCCACATCTGGGGACCTAGGAATGTGTGGAGCCTTGCGGGAACCTCCTGTTCCTTCACGCTGCACAAGCTGTCTTTCTTCTCCCCACACCTTGCGCTCCGCATCCCCCACGCTCCTTGTGCCCCTCCATCCCCAACCCCCGGGGTTTAGATGTGTGTGAAGCTTCGTAGCACATTTTGAGCTGCCTTTCTAGGTAATAGCAGGGCTGGAAACCCGTCATCGATTCCCAGGGAGGTTGTCAGCGTGCAGGGGGAAGCGGGGGGTGTCGTGGAGACACTCCGGGGCCCCTTACTCGGTTCCTCTGTGGGTCCACTTAGCTGTGGTGTCAGCTGTGTCTCCGCTGATTTCAGGCACCGCCGGTAAGCAGGGAGTCTCCGCGGAGCTCCCGCCGCCGCTCCCCCTTGGCGCGTCCTGCCGCAGCAAGAGGCATGGAGAAGGCCGCCCCCGCGGGGCGCTGATCCCCGCGCCGCGCCCGCGCGCACACGCCCCCCGCCGCCGCCGCCGCCGCCGCGCGTCCCCAGTACTTCGCTCCCCGCCCAGGCCCCACCATGACCGGCTCCGCGGCCGACACTCACCGCTGCCCCCACCCCAAAGGCGCCAAAGGCACCCGATCCCGGAGCAGCCACGCGCGGCCCGTGAGCCTCGCCACCAGCGGGGGCTCGGAGGAGGAGGACAAAGACGGCGGGGTGCTGTTCCACGTTAACAAGAGCGGCTTCCCCATCGACAGCCACACCTGGGAGCGCATGTGGATGCACGTGGCCAAGGTGCACCCTAAGGGGGGAGAAATGGTGGGCGCCATCAGGAACGCCACCTTCTTGGCAAAGGTCAGTGGCTTCCAGGGCAGGGTTGGGGGTCTGGGGGTAGGTAGGCAAAGAGGGGACCGTTTCAGCCTGTACATAGCAAATAGAGGCAATCTCCATTTTCCTGGTCTTGCTACAAACTCCTTCCTCTCCCCATTTCTCCCTGCCAGCCCTTTTCTAATTGAGATGTTTAGATTGGAAGCCTAAGAAATGGGGAAGGGAGAGGTAGTGGGCTTGCTATCCTGGGACTATGTAATTGGATTGTGCCAAGGTGTCTTTGAACCTCCAGCCAAACTCTATTATTTACTCACCCCCACATACATCCTTCTTCAGCAAAAGCTAGAGCCAGCAGGTACCAGCGATGCCAAAGAATGCATAGACCTCAGGGATCCCACTCTGCTTGTTCTCTTTAGAGTGTCTTGCTCCTCCTCTGCTCCCCTCTTCCCCCAGCAAATGATTTATTAAGCTGTGAATGAATTTGAAATCAACCAGTCAGACTTCTCAGTGTGAATCATTTCCAGACTTTTTGCCAATTTTTTTTCTTTTCTTTTTTTTTTATGACAGTGACTTTCACCTCTGAAACTTGCAAAACAGTGAACTCTCTCTCTCTCTTCCCAGCTTATTTGGGCTCCAAGAAAAAAGAAAGACTTTTGGCTGA